GTTTCTCGTATATAACGCTACTAATTAAAAACCTGATTTAATGGTAACAACGTAGTAAATATGATAATATGATAATTTCTATTTCAGGATAAATGTCGATCGTTTCTTGTCGCGATGCGAAGATTTCTCGATCCACTCGCGCAGGACAAGAAAGATACCTGGAAATCAGTTAACCGATGGAGGAGTAAATAAACATATAAATATTGTTGATGAATATCATAAATATCAAAAGGCGTCCTCTCGCTTGTTATAGTTCAGTCCCGGTATAGAGAAAACGTTCGTTTCGGTCTTGACCTCGCGAAAATTTTGCGAATCTAAAGGATAACGCATGTCGCTGAAATATTATTCTTACACAACTCGCTCGAACGCTTTGAACGCATTTGTATGCGCACTTTTGCGCGAAAGTCTTCGAGGTCGTAGCGCAAGGATTAATCCCACGTGCATCGCCGGCAGGAATGCAATCTGGCAATCCGCGAGAGAGACCTGTCCCGTCGTTTCGAAAGTTATGTAGCCAGACATAAAAGCTACGTACACACGAACGCCGGTCCAGGAGAAAGTTCCCCGCAACGGTGAATCCGCTCTCCGTCCTCTCGCACATAAGAAGATCTCAAAGTGGATCGACCTCGTCGTCGTGAAGAATCCCTTCAACGCTTTGCCTATCTTCCGCTTATCTTCTTGGGAAAACCGAGAGAGATAATTGAATCACGATTACAGTTAAACCGAGGAGTAGAACAAGAGAGAAAGAGAGAGATGCCGTTAGATTTTCGCGAATTTTTATACAGACGGAATCGATATTCGTTTTTTCGGCTCCGTTACGATAGAACGATAGACCTGTTACGGGTGAAAAAACCAGGATTACGGATTCTTGATAAAAGATCTTACTTTGAATCTCCGAGTGATCGACCAGTTGATTGTACTTGGATCTCAAGAGAAATACGTTCTGAATTGTAAAAATTATAAGATTTCTCAACGGAATGCAACATCCCTTTCTCGTTTATTTCGTTATTTCGTTCTTTCCAGACGCAAGAACGCAAAAAGAATAGTTTTGTTAAAATATGTAAAAATTTAATCAGATACAGATCTGAAAATAGTTTTAAGGTAATTAAGATGTTCAGATTTGGTTGTTAGAGTAAAAAAAATTTTGGCAATATTATGTCTCATACTTGAGTACTCATCCTACATAATAATTTTAGTAGTTCGACGAAATTATTCTACGAAATTATTATCTAGCTTAATTTTTAACATTTTTTTTATATCATCATTCATTAACACTCATCACGTACATGTAATTTAAAGTGTCGTAATAAATGAGAATTGATAAAAGATATCGCGCTCGTCATTGAATGCGCTAATTATTAAACATTTTATGTGTCTAACAATGGTATAAACAATGGCATAAAAATATTTTGCTTATATACATTTTTTTAATTAAAGCTGTTTGAGTATTTTTTAAAACTTCAGAGACTTTCGGAAGCTATGGAAAATTTGGAAACAAGAACGTTTTTTCTATAATTAGTAACAAAGATTCTCGACATAAATACAATTAATAAAGATCATTCTGGAATGGAAAAATTACGCTGAAATTTCGTAGAAATTTTGCTGAAAGTAGTATTTCAGCAAAATTGCTGAAAATTTGCTGAAATTTTGCTGCAATTTCACTAAAAGTGATTTTTTTCATCACAAATAGTGAAAAATCTCTGAAACTTAAATGTCTCCATAAATTTGTTCGTATATTTCTCTGAAAATTTGTTGAAATATCTCTGAAAATGTATTGAATCTCTCTGAAATTTTCCTAAAAAATGATTTTCAGCTAAATTGCTATAATTTCTCCAAAAAATAATTTTCAGCTAAATTGCTGAAAAATTATTATAATTTCTCCTCCAAAAATTATTTGTAAATTTATTACAAATTTTCTGAAAATTTGCTAAAATTTTGTTGCAATTTCACTGAAAATGATTTCTTCATCAAAAATAGTGAAAAATCTCTGAAATTAAACAACATTTTCCATGAATTTGTTCATGTATTTCTCTGAAAATTTGTAGGAATATCTCTGAAAATGTGTTGAAATCTCTCTGAAATTTCCGTAAAAAATGATTTTCAGCTAAATTGCTATAATTTCTCCAAAAACTTATCTGAAAATGTAAATTCTATTCTTCTAATTTTTGCAAATTCCATAAAAATTTGTTGAAATTTCATTAATATTTTGCAAAAAATATAGTAAATTTGCTAAAAATACGTACAAATTAAAAAGAAATTGTTTTCTCTAAAAAAGAAGTTTTAATATTTAATAAACTTCCCTAATAACACAAGGACATCTTCAGGACGTTCTCAGAATGTCCTATTAGATGAGCCAGATATCCTGAAGACTATTATGGTCCTGAAACGTAAACAGGACGTCCTGGACTAAATAAATGAGCGCCTCATTACGACCTGAAGACGTCCTCGGGACGTCCTTCACTCAGCCTTAGGCTATCCTGAGGATTTTCTTAAAACGATTTTAGGATGACTTCAAAATGATTTCAGGATATCTCACAAACAAGATGTCCTCGGGGACATCCTGAAAACGATCGCGTTCCGATATTGACTGCTAGTACTGAAAATTTATAATATATGTGACATCCCTTACGGAAAATAAGTGAAAAAAATGAAAAAAAATTGTTAGAAAATAATGGAATGTCTTTTATCTTGTATCACTGTATGTTTCTAAACGGTCACCCATCCTATTTGGGATCCTGTTTAACTTTTATATTGGAATGAAACCTGCAACTGAAATGATGGTATAAGTGAATGCAGAATTCTGCCATAAAATATGATAGATCCGGTTAATGAATGTTACTATATTGTCGTATAAATAGTCTCAATTTTAAAATCTCGATTGCACATGTAATTCTTGTAGATAATTAAATTACATATATAGAGTCATGAACCTAAATTATGTTTAATGAGAATAATTTTTCTTATAAAAATTATTCATGAATAATTTTTATAAGAACTTAAATTATGTTTAATGAGAATAATTTAGGTTCATGACTTTATATATGTTATTATGTC